AAGCATCAGATTTCTATTCCACTATGGAACAAAAAACCATGGCATGTACAAACTAATTTCTGGTACGAATCCCACAATGCAATGCTCGGCATTTCACAGATGGGAAAATTACAGTTGTGCGTCTCTACAGATATAACAAGGTGATAATTATTAACTATTGTACAGGGAGAGTGAACAAAGGGGTGATTTAAGTTGTTGGGGCTGAAAGAATACACTACTCAGGGCTTATAGGGTAAGAAAAAGTAAGTAATCTATATTTCTATTTACAGTTAAAAGATGCTCAAATTTAAATCGTCCAATTAGTTTTTTGTGGTAAAATCAATATTATCTATTCAGGAGTGAAAGCATATAGAGGAAACAAATAAATGTGTTAGTGCAACAAGAATACTTGTTTACATTTATTTTCTCTCTAAATTTTTATTTAATTTAAATTTTAAATTATTATTTTTTTTATTTAAGTTAGAAAACCTTATAGTGAAACCTCACCTACGCCCTTGTATGTAACTTATGTGCGGGCATACTCTGTCCTGTTGCATGGTCCCGGCTCCTTATCTCCACCTCTGTTTACCTGTTATGTTGCCATAGTAACTCCCTCCTCGGAAGCCCATTGGCCAACCCGCGGAGGTAGCGACAGGTGAGGGAGTGCAGGTGCGTGGGCGTAACTAGGGAGGAAGGGAGGACGTTTGCAGAGCGAGGAGGGGCCGACTGACACCGAAAGATAAACATGCAGATATAGAAGAGAAAACAATAGAGCAATAAATGTATAGACGGCGGGTAAAGACGTTGGTAAATGGAGGAGAGAAGTTAAAAGGCGGCATTTCACCTCACGCGGCTTTCTCAGAAACAGGAAGTCGTCAGTTCAACCGCCGTCTCCTCCTCTGACGCAGCCATGTGTCACTGTTGCTATGGGAACCACTCAGCAAGGACAAACATCCGGATTACTGCTTACTGCCGTGTCACCGTTTGTATCGTGGCTTAACCGCTGTGCATTATCACCGGTTACCATGGTGACCGGAGGGGAAATGAAGAGGATGTACGGCGACAGTTTTCCCTTTCAGCTTTCTGACCTCTGCAGTCAGAAGCTGAGTTATTCATATTTTCTGTGCTTACATAGGCTTTGAATGAAAAAGAGTTAGAATAAAATCAGTTTGCATGTAAATACAGTGTATTATAAATTTAGGCCTCACATTTTCTGCTGTACAAATAGTGAAATCACAACCTAGCACTGTTCTATAATAATATTTTTCACTTATTATGACTAAAAACTACAAAGTTGCATATGCATCTGTGTCATTCTTCATGTAATTTAAGTAGGCTTTATTTCCAAAACTTCCAAAATGAGAAGTCAGACTTATAGCTGCATTTATAGATACAATGCATGTTAGGTAAGGACAGTTGAAATGGTGCTAAACAAAGTGAATAATTAGCCAAAATCAACCTGGACTCCAGAGGGTTTACACACTCCAATGTACACAAAGTTGCATAATGCTAGTGCAGCCAAAGGGTGTGGCTAATGTCAGAAGAGGTAAAGAAACGCCAGCAACGTTTGCATGTCTCTTATAGATCCCCTTTAAAGGAAGTGCTGTGTTTGCTCAATAGGCCTTCGTGTCGTTATACAAATATGTCTTAATATTTCCTGACATTACGAGATGCAGATTTCATTGAATGAGGTAAGAATTGTGACAACGTGGACACTCCAATGTATTTATTTCAACTTCACTCACTATAAATGTTCAATATCACAACTGAGGCAAAAAAAAAATACAAAGTAGAAAAATATAGGAATTTGAATTATTTCGCATTCTTCATTTGACCTGTAACATTAAATTGACATATTATTATATAGATTTGTATTTTCTGAATAAACATATTAAACATATTTTTCTGTTTTTAATTGACAGTAACATGGTAATATGAAACTTGATCATTGTCTCTAACTTTTTGTTTTTTCCCCTTTGTAGTCAACGTCTCAGGAAGACTTTCAGCTATAGGCAGATGTGTGAAATGTCAGACTGCAGACTTCATAAGAGGTCAAAAGTTAATGTTGCATAACTGTACTGCCATCTAAGTAAAACAACACATCATGAACATTTTCACCAACAGGCAACCAGGTGCTCTGCCAGTATGTCAGAGTAAAAAGAGACTAAAAGTCAGTGTACGCTGATGAGAGGATGACTCTTTGTAAGTGGAATCTCAAGGTGTAATCATTGAATTATTTTTAATATTGTGTTTGTGACTTAGGATTTATTCTATAATTGAAGACATGATGGAAAAAAACACAAAAGACACATAAACTGCTTTTTTTTTAAAAGAAATTCAACTTTAATGTTGACCACATAGTGATCATATTTATTTTTATTACATTTTGGTTTAAAAAACAAAGGCACACATGAAGAAACTGCAAAACCCTCTACCTCTTGAATATATATTTTATAACAAGAACAAGACGAGTGACAGAAAATAATTCTGGATTTGATCAAATAAAAGCAACACATAAAAAAACACTGAAGCAAATATTGCAGCACAACTTATTACACATATTTTATTACAAGCAAGGTATGCATTTCAAAGTCTAATTATTCACATACATTTTTGAGTATAATCGCTTTTATGGTTTCATGAAAAATTTATCTTTTAGTGCTCTGTAAATGCAATAAGAAAACAGGCATAAATCCAAGTAAAGTGTTTCATTACAGAATGTGTGACGTGTGTGTATATCAGAGAAAAATGTTGCAGCTAGACATACAGTGTAACAGCAACATAGACTGAAATAATATTGTCAATCATTTCCAAATGCATGTATTTAAACATGCACGTACACATACAGACTTTAAGACGATATAACAGGCTACAGTCATTATTGAAGTGAGCTGTGTGTGTGTGTGTGTGTGTGTGTGTGTGGAACGGAGACCAGTCTCCTGTTCCTGCTGAACTGAGCCAGCCGACGTCACACACTGATTATCAGCACAGCAGGCACAGGAGACCGACCCAGCAGGGGGCAATGGGTGAGGGGTTGGGGGTGGGGGGGAGGCAGACAGACACACACACACACACATACATAGGAAAGTCAGCCAAACACACACACACACACACACACACACAAGTCAAACAAACAGACACTGATGCTCATGCAGAAATCAACAAGTGGAAGCATGAAAAAGAATATGGATGCAAACACAAAGTTACACACACTGACACACATGCTGCCCCTGAGAAACCCTGGCAGCCGGCGATACAAATGACGACATGCGATGACATATTGCTCGCCCTACAGGAACAGGAGCAGTCCTCGGCACTAATGAGACAG